CATCAGGAGGAAAGCCGGGATTCGGCGTGTGAGGATCATCTGGCATAGTAACATCTGGAAGGTGTGGTGATGACAGTGGAGTGTTAAAAGGTTCAGGCGGTTTGTCATCATCTTGGTTGTTGTTCTGCCGAGGTGGAAAACCCGGTGGAGGGTCGACGTTGGCGTTCTGTTCAGGAGTGTTGTCGGACTTGTCTGAAGGAATACTTCCATCGTTGTTCCAAAACAATATTGCTGACCAATGGCTAGCAATCAGTTGCGACAGATCTCTAGGATGTAATCTCAGAAAAACCTGAGACGTATCCTTCTTTTTCCAAAGTAAGAGTACGCCGTGTGTATGACGGTATTCAACGCGTAAGGACTGAAAACTACCACGAAAAATAACTGCGTTGTCAAACATGGACGTACTTAGATACATCTGTCTGACGTGTGAAACATCTTGTTGTGCTTCGATCTGAACAGGGTGAAAAACATTACCAGCAGGAAGAACATTAATGCGGATGAGTAAGCGTTTCGTGTAATAATCGCGTACTGGAAGACCTTGTTCGTACAAGTCAGTTGCCAACACAGGATGCTCTGAGGCCTCTGAGGCCGTGAGTGCGGCAGGCTGATTTTGAACTCCTTGCAGTTCATCGAGATTCAAATCTTCCAGCAAATCTACAGCAAGTGACAACTGCGATGGATAGAGAGCCCGTGGATTTCCAAGCGGAAGGATGCATCTAATCAAAGTGCTACAGAATCGATACGGATAAACTTGTGCCAACTTGGTTCTTGATCCATAACCTGGAGCACTACCTTCCAGTGGTTGATGATAATGAGTTGGATCCTTCTTGGATTTGTTACTACATCTCTTGAAAATTGGATTCAAGGTGCCATCAGGAAAATTGTGAAGTAAAGAAGTTGGCTTGTAGTAGTAATATCCATTTGGGTCTCTCATACCAAAAGCACACATATCTAACGTTCCGTAGGCTACGGCATGCTTCATGAGAAGGCGTTGAAAGCATTTGGTGAACCAAATCTTGGAAGTCGCGGGATTTTCTATGATAAAATATCTACCATGTTCAATCTGGTAAAGAGCGACTCTAGCACAAAATTCTACCATGGGGAGCTACTTTTTCCTCTTTTGATAAGTAATTATCTGATGGATCGTTGATGTTCTGCATTTGACTCCATGGTCCACAAACAGGTGCCATGTGGATGATTTTTGGCTGTTGTCGCTCAATGACTTCCATTGGCCCTTCGCCGACCTTCGGCTGTAAGCAAGTCGTAACCTGTTCTCAAATCTATAGGAGCACCAACTCGAAGTCCTTGCATGGCTGCCGACTGGCTAAGCTTGGCGGAACCACTAAACATCTCTAAGAAATCGATCTTTCCTACAGTAGTTGGTTCCCAAACATACATAGTGACCATACTGGATGCCTTCAGGACCTGTCTGAGAGGCATCATACCGCATGATTGCATTGGCAAAGTCATCGGTTGTACATGTGGACTTCGATGTTGCTGTACAGGCATCTTTGGCCGAGAGATCGGCACTGGCTAATGCGGCAGGATCGAGAGGTACATCGACATCTTCAACAGGATTGTGATCCTTTCTAATCTTGCTGATGTTGACCTTCACAATTCTGGTACCTAAGTCAACTCCTACCATGCTACCTTCTACTGAGACCAACTTTCCTTTAATCCATTTTCCTCCATGTGAACCGTCTGATTTGATTTTTGATTTGTCTTCGGTCCAATAATAAACTTTGTCACCAGGAAAGAATGGTCCATCACTGAGTTGGAGTTTACTTGCAATGTCTCTTCGAAGGTCATCAGACTGCTTTGCCTCTAGAAACTTTCGCATCGCCAGCGACCTTAGTGCTTCAATCTGTCTCTCAGGAGCAGGGGCCTCGGTAGTGAGCTGCGCAGGATTCATGAGCTCAATCGCCGTTATATCGGCAGGGCTTCTTCCAAACGCTAATCCAATTGGTGTAACACCACCGTGTGTTACCATGGTATTCCTTGAAATGCAGAATGCAGACTTGTCTCAACAACTGTTTGTAGGTAATGTTGGCAAGCAAAGGATCGTCTTTCAAGGAAATTAGCATCAATGAGACCTGTTTCTTAAACATGCGAATGGCTGCTTCAGCTCGGTTGGGCCACGGTGTTCAGCCGAATGTTGTGCCTGCTGTAATAAACGGTAATAGCTCTCCATTTCAGTACCCATGAAAGCTTGATCTGCAACATTGTATTTTGGATTCCGCTGATAAGTTTCAAAGTACTCTTGAAGATGAGATATCGTCACTGGATCAGACCTGTTTTGAACTACAAAAGCAGTAGCCAAAGAAGTTGCACCATCGTACAAAAGTAGGAAGAAGTTTTGACTGAGGATTGATAGAAACTTCTCCGTGGTCAATGAGAAAGTAAGTTCACCAAAAACCTCACTTCGAATTCCTGAAACCTTAGCTCTTGAGGGTGCAATTTTGGCCTTGGAATCTGGTCAAACTTGTCATAAATTTCCTTTGGCAACTTCAGAGCTGACGTTCTTCTCTTGAGTTGTTCGCTTGTCATGTGATAATGCTTCAAGTGTAATTTGAGAAGTTCAGTTGGTGATTGAAGCTTATCATGAATTCTCTGAAGTGCAAGTGACAATGTTCCTTTAGGTGACGGTTCCTTCTTTTCTTCAAGTTTTACCTCAGCCTTTGGTTCCGGTTTGATTTCTGTGTCTTCTTCAATCTGAGGTTCCCGACGTCTACGGACTCCGTCCTTGGAACCGGAACTTGGTCCAGAGGCCACAATAGGCTCATCATCAGGATCAAAAGGCTGACTCGGTACTTCTAACTTGCTATCAGGCTGAATAAACTTCTTGACATTTTTCTTGGAATCAGACTTGGCCGGCTTCGGCTCTTGTGCTGATTTATGTTCTGACCTCTTGAACTTCTTGCAACCTCCTTTGTTTGTGTGTGGACGATGTTTACCGTTACATGCTGGGCATGTGATGTCTTCGGACTGAAAGCTGTACATCGGCTTCCAACTTGAAGTTGCAAGAGCCATAATGTCAAGGACTGGCTGGTTGGATGTGCTGACCGCCAATGTGGTGCGTTGCATTCCAAAAAGTGGACAAGTCAGAAACTCACCTACAGGAGTGTGTTCAATGTTCATGCGAAGGTTCCGCGTTTGCTCAACTGAAAAGAGTATGGGAACCTTACCTTTGTCCAGAATGTCAACACATGTTGTGATCCAACCAGTGTGTGTGCATGATCATTGCGAAAGTGAATAACCAATCTTTCTTTGACTGTAGATTGTTCTCCATTTGCAAATGAAAATTTACTTGAACAAGGTTGCTTGGAAAACCAGATGTGATCACGCTTCGGATGCTGTTGGCAAGCCTGTACAAGGCGTTCAATGGCAAAGCGGGATCCCATAGCTCTGGTACAGCCTGAGTCAAGAATAATATAAGTCGGATGAGAACCGAGATCTACATACTCACAAAGCAATGCTTGTTGGGCACCATGATCATAATTGAGAAATACACACTCTTCCGTTGTGACGGAATTGAGTGGGCATGTGTGCTGTCGTAACGAATGCAGGTCACCGGATTCGGTAGAAACACTGTCCTCAACATGGCGGATGCTCATAAACAAAGACCTGTTCAAATCTGCAAAGCACTGGTACATCAAAGACACGAACAGAAGCACGAATGCGAAGGCTTCTACAAGTTCGTGTCCGAGAAATCGGAACAAGCAAATGGCCGGAAAACAGAACCGGTTGATCTGGTCCGTCTGTCCGTCCTCAGAAATGACGTCTGAACTTTCTGAATGCTTGTCCTCGGATTCGGTCAGTTCCTCAGCGGAAGCAAAGTAAGACCAATTGTACCAATCACCTTGGGAGTAATCTCCATCGTAGCCGTATCCATAATAGGATTCATATCCTGACCGGTCATCTGTCCAGTAGGTGTCATAGTCATAACTCCAGCTTTCTTCGGCATGGGCTGTTTCTTGTTTTTCGGGGGCTTGTGAGGCACTAGAAGATGCTGTCTGTGCAATGTTTGCTTGTGGAGGCTGTTGTTGTTGAAATGGTTTACCTCCTTTGCTCTTTCCATCTTATAAGACGGGCCAAAAGAAAGAAGGTTGTGAAGGTGGAACTGTTGTCTGTTTTCTTTTTTAACCCACCTCAACCTCACCCTTGAGATGATAATGGCCATGTCGATATAAAAATTGGATTGAGTTCATGAGGAAGAGTGGCAAACTGTGTGTTAAAACTTAAGGTTGGAAACACAGTGTTAAAATCCTCATGAAGAATAAAATACGCAACAAAGCAAATGTTTTTTTTTGCATGGTGTTGCCAAGCACCAGGTTTTGCACCTAAGGAAAAATTTGTTTGAGTGTTGTATCCAAATTTTTCAAATTGTTTCCTTCAAAGATAATGCTCTCACTTCGTGATAGCACTCATCTTATAAGAAACAACTTAGGTGCATAAACGCAGGTATACGCCACTTATACCTATGTATATATATATATACATATGGGTATAAATGAGGGATACGCAAATACGCCGGAAAATAAACACGGAGAAAAGGAAATCACCGAAAACGAATGCACATGCTGACATCACTGAAATGAAGTGTCTGAATGGAGTTCCGTGCGGTCTTTCACTTTTTTCTGCTTGCTCCTTGGTCTGGGGCGTTTTCACAACTAAAGGTTTGAGCTTGGCTATGCAGCTGCTGGATCTGCATTTTTCTGACGATGTCCAGGCGACTTTGTCAACTGGCATTTCGTGTTTGGTGCTCAGGTGTTGTGCCCCTGTGGAAAAGGAGAGCAGCACTAAAAGGTCGTTCATGGAGTTCAATTATTGCTGTGGCAAGTTCAGTGGAGGCATCGACAACGCCACCGTCAGAAACATTGAAGCGACGCATGGCCTCACTCAGTTTATGCCGCGATGGCAAATCTCCGGGATTGGAAAACGAGCACACACGTTCCGTCCAAGCAAAGACTGGCCACGCAACTTCCATGTCTGCCAAAGCTCTAGTTAGAGCCCTCATGGTGGGCGACGTGCTCGAAGCCTTTATTGCGCTTCGTTATCGACCCAGAGATTAACCTGCGACCTTCCAGTCGTTCACGGAAATGCCACCTGATTGCAACGAGGGCCCAAAGCTCAATCTGAGAAATGATCTGTTCGCCCACATGCCTCAACCAGTGGGTAACCAGCGTGTCGGGTACTGTTATGGTGCACCCAATGCGAAAGTCTCCATCCAACAAGATGGCACCTGCAGATGCCTGACCATTCTCCCAAGCGCCGTCCGTGAACAAAAGTATGGGCCTTCTTTCACCTGTAGTTGAGTGAGTTCTCGGGCCCAAGGAAGTCAGCATTGATTTAGCATACGCACAGAGGTCTTGGAGCTCCCCAGCCTTTGAGGGGCCAACGCGGTCAGCGTGTGGCATGAAGGCTGCCACTAAGTGTTTCAAGGCTTTCCCTGAAAAGAAACCTATGGCAAAGTTCAGGAGGCCCTGCAACTCGCTGGCCTGTGCTATAGTGATCTCTCCTTCACTCTCGACTTTGTCCAAAAGAGCACAGAGTTTCTCAATTCTCGTAGTTTTGTTGGTGACCTGCAAAATCCCTTTGGGAGTCAAAGCAAGGTTGAAGTTCACGCCCAGCAAGTCGAAGGCACCAGCAAAGTTCAACGCTTTATCGCCTTCTTTGGCGTGTTCCCACCCCAGCATGTCCAGCACTGCGCTGAACGCAAGAGAAAGAACCCTGCAGCCCGGGGCTCTTTCCAAAGTGGGGAAGTCATCGAAATAGTGACTTGATATCGCAGACAGCAGCTTAGTCACTATGTACCATATGGCTTGAGACACCCTCACGAAGCCGTACACGCTTCCAGTGCAACCAAAGGGCAGGGAGATACTTCGATAGAATCTCCAGGTGCCACTCACAGGAAATCCTACCACCGCATGTTGTTGGTGAGCAGGAAGAATGGCAAGTTGTTTGTAAGCCTTGCTGAGGTCAAAGGTCTTGCCCATCCATTCATCTCCAGACACACCGGCTGCCGCCGCTTCTGACATCAAAAACAGAACCATGTTAGCTGCATAGTCCACGTCCTGGAGTTGCAATTTAACCGTGGAACTGTAAGCTGCATTGACCGCACTCTTTTTTGCATCATCGATCACCCTGATCTTGCCACCAGTGCCCTGGAAAAGGACGAAACGCGGGCTGAGGGACCAGTCCTCAGTTTCCAACAAAACGGAGATTTCCTGCTCTGAATATGGCCCTTCCAAAAAGCCCTTTGCCACTTCTTCAGCTGTAGTTTTAAGGGGAGCGGCTTCCTCCTCCGGTTTGAAGCGCTTGGATTGGCACATCAGCGACTTCCGCCTCCAAGCTGATGATTGTAGCAACTCATCCTCTGTGATGGACGCTGGCACCAGCTGCTCTCTGTATCCCTTAGGCGCAGCTTGCAACCCAACCAAAGGAATTCCCTGCTTCAACAGGGAAACAACTTCCAAATCCCAGAAGTCAAGCTGCTTGAGGACGTGTTCAAAAAGGAGGATGTTCTTGGTCACTGTGCATCGCTTGACATCTGGGTGCATTGTGTCCTTGAGGGCCAACTCTTGGCACTTCAGTTCGTTTGTCAATTTGCGCAGGTTGAAAACAGTGGCCAAGCGCTCTGTTGCAAGTATCAGTAGGTCGGTTCCAACCACCTTCTTAATAGCATCCTTTGTAGCCACATGCAGAAAGGATTCATCATCCATGGGGTGAGCGACAGCTTCAGCTCTAGTCAAGAACTGTTCAGGTGTATGCCACACCCCATATTTAAACTCCTTTCGCGGTCTCTTTGGCTCGTGTTCCTGTGGTGCCTGTGTCTCTTCTGGCTGCTCAGTGCTATGGTGCCCCTGTGAAAAAGGAGCTGACAGGAGCTTATGTGATTCATGCTGAATGGGGGCGTCTGTGTGAAAAACCGTTGCATACTCTGGAATCAACGGCTCGTGCCGCAAGGGCTGATGCCCCAAGCTGAGGTTGAGCAGCTCCTTCAAGCGTGGTTGAAGGCTTGGGAATACCACCATTTGTTCGGCCGACTTTCGCACACATTCAGCCATGCGGTTGCATAGCAGTGGAGGGTATTCAGCCTCCATCGCTGTTGGAAAAAAACAACGCCATGCTCGCCACGAAAAGGTTGCCAGGAGGCATGCTGATGGTCCTTTGAACAGTCAATTGCCAGGGTGGAAAATAGGTCACTCGTGGCAAGCAGTTTCGTGCGCTTGTCTCTTGAGCTGCCATGCGCACATGCATCAAAATAAACTGTCTCCAATTTCGAATACCACAGAATAAAAGGTTGATCTTGAGTCTCATGAACCAGGAGCGCCAGCAGTGGCCACAACCAGGAGCGGCCGGGGTTCTCTATTGACACCAGGCAACCCAAAGCAAAACACATTGTAAAATGACAATTGCTGCACGGTAGAGCTGGTTCGCCAAGGTTACCTTGGTGAGGTCAGCCCCACAAAGGTGAGGCAGGCCCAACAAGTTGTCAGCATCCCTCAAAGGTTGAGGGCCCATGTGCCCACCCATGCTTTTTGGCATGGGCTTCTCTCTTGCTCTTGAACACGTTCCGCACGGCAAGCCCAGGTGTATGTAACCAGGCTTGACAAACTTTATCATTGACTCCAGTAACTGCAGTTGCTGCAGATTTGAAACATCCAAAACCAGCGTTCTAACCTTTGGTGAGTGCCGGTTGGCTGCATGGTCGATTGCGTGGACGTGGAAACCCAGACGCCTTAAGGCGGAAGACAGTCCCGCTGACCCACAGCAAACTTCTATAGTCACTGGTTGCAAGGTGAAAACTGCATCCTCCACAAAATGTGTAGGGGTGAAATTCAACTGCTCCTCCGCTCGCAAGTGTCAGATTGGGCATTCGTTGCCCGGGTGGTTCTTGTGGCATCCCTTCTTCCAGCAGATATGATAACCAACCATGCATCTCTTTCCTGGTTTAACCTTTGCAGTGCATCTTCCAATCTGCCAACGCTTGCATAATTGCTTCCCATCAACAAAAATTTTGCAGTTGTCAGGAACTTGAATCCCAGGGCCGGGCGCCTTGGACTTGCCCTTGCCATGTTTGCCTTTGCCTTCAGAAAACTGTTGACCTTTTCCCTTTGCTGAATGGGAAAAGATCGCACCGTGCTCAGGTCTGGATGATACGCTGCTTTGCAACGGAGACATGTGCTGCAGTACTTCAGGGTGCTCAGAAAACTTCTGAAAGGCTACGTCAAATGCCTTTGGATCTCCCGTTTTGGGCTGAAGCTGTCCCCTGGTTTCGTTTGACAGCTTTACCCAAAGAGCCTTGTCAGCGCTGAGAATCTGCTCAGCTGAAATACTGCGGTAATTTGCCAAAGGGGCCTCATTCATCTTTTCAAAAAGCTTCTGCGTCCACAAATCCATCACTGAAAAGGTTCCAATTCCAGCCAGGTCGTAGGCAAGGTTCCTACGTAAGAATGCCTGTCTGAGGCGATGTTCTCCTGTCACGTTTGTATCTTCCAACTTTTGTCTTTTACTGAGTTTCAGGCCACCTGACAGGTCCAAAGACAAGGCAGTATCTGTCTTTGCATGCAAGGTTTCATCTTGTCTTGACGTACATTTCTGAAGTTCAATGTATGAGACCACATTGTCGTCAAGTTGCTGGCAAACCTTGTCAATAAGGCTATGCGACGGCTCTGATTGCGGAGTAAAACTTATGCCAGCAAGTCGCTCCTTTTGGAGCCTGATCCTATCCATCTTTTCTGCCAAAGGGATGACCCGAGCTTCACTTGACTCAGACCGTTCTGCTCTTGATTTCAAGTCTTCAAGTGATAGTGCATGCGCTTCGAAAAACAGCCTACGAAATTTCGATGCAACTGAAGCTGAAGGCTCGGCTCCCAGCGTTGCGGTCAAGAAGGCTGTCAGAGGTGCATCATCAGCTTGACCAGGCTGAAAATTGCAACAATAAGCATAGGAAGCATAACTGGTTATGTTGACTCCCTTCAGCGCATCAATCTCGGCTTCTGTAGTCCCCAGTTCCAGTGCGCGATTTGTGAAAGCAACTTTGGAATCAATTGCCATTGAGCTCGCGGCCAGGTGCCCAATGAGGGCTGTCTGAAAGAATACAAATTTGGTTATTGAAGCCAGTTGAGGGTCCACAATGAAACAAAGTTGGGGAGAGTGAAGGAGAGGAAACCAAGACACATGAGTATCCCGTGGAGCGTTACAAGAACTTCACACAAAGGTTGGTCAGCCATGAGACTTGGAGTACCAAGTTAAACGTCGTGCAATGTCGTGATGTTCACGCAGCTCAGCCAAAAAATTGCAAATGAACTCGGATACTCCAATCACCAGGACAATTCACAATTGACCTCTGCCACATGCAAATGAAACATGTTAGGCATCGGGTTCTTGTTGAATGGTCCTGCAATGGATCCGGTTTGAAATGCAATTTTGGTCATGGTGTGAGTTGGCGTGAATGACATGTTGCAACTTGGTATGAAAAGATGCAACTGGTTGCATCAATTATATTCAAAAAGAAACAAGTTAAAACGTCACTGAAGTTGAACCTTTTTTTATCTGACGCGCGACAGCAAATGCCTCGTTCCCTGCAAAATCTTTGGAATGCCGGGACTGCCGCCACTGAGGTTCATTTAAATTGCATTATCCGGGTTTGCCGCTCTGAAAGAGTGTGAGCAGCTGGCACAAATCACAGTCTCCGCATTGGCCAAATCATCCATGGATGCCTTCCTGAATGATGAGGAGGCACATCTTCCACACCAAAATTTCTGTTGTCCCAGAAGCTGCAAGTGAACGACCCTGGATCGTGTGTTGATGAAGCAGTGATCTCGGTCAATATCTGCTGCATCCAACCGTCTAAAAGAGGACGGTTCCTGCTCGCGGTGCTCGCCCTCTGATGAGGCCACACTTGAAGCATCAGTAGAGGTGGATGAGGTGTCACTGTCATCATCCGACTGCAATTCTTGAGCCCTGGCCATCGTAAGCTGCAGCAACCTTTGAACACGGCTGCCATCAGGGTTGAAAGTACCTGCCTTGATCTTGTCCATCATGTCATGAATCTTTTTGCAAAGGCCGATCTGATTGTCACGGGAGTAGATCAGCGCAGACTTGTAGTGAGAGCTCACATGGTGTCCAAGCGCCAATTGCTCCTCCGGGGTGAATAACATGCTCTTAGCTGCCCAGCTCAACATCGTGGCCTTCAAGCCGTGCACAGTCAGCACCGCCGACCGGTCAGGCCCGACCACGGGCTCCAGCAATTCCCTCAGCCAGAATGTGGCCTCAGCAGTTGACATCTTTGTGTCTGCCCAATCGCCTTGATGTTCGGACCAGGAACACAAAAAGTGGCACCATGCAAAGCTGCCTGAATCCTCTCTTGCACTTAACCATGAATCTGCCCAGTTTTCACCAGCCAGGGTCTGTCCCAGTGCCGTGAAAGGCAGCAGCTCCCTTTGTTGTTCCTTGGTGCGGGACGACTTGTGCTTCGACGTTGCCGCCTCCAACAAGCAAAGGTGGTCTGCCTTCGACAGTTCCATGGAAACAACATGCATTGAGTCATGCCACCTTGCAGCAGCCATCAGGCAAAAGAGAAAATGACCAGCAATGACACGGTGATGCAGCAACTCATCTTGCAAACAAATGGATTCCAGCTGTTGAACTTCAGAGACAGTGAGCACCTCTGCTGGCCGGCGCACCCTCTTTGTAAGATATATGGCATGTGAGGCCCCCACAACACGTGCACTGAGCATGTCATCAAGGCTGGTCTTGCAAAAACCAAGCAGGGCATTTGAGAAGCGCAATGCCTCAACAAATTGTGCTGGCGTTGTTGCCCCAGCCTCTGAAGTACGAAGGTGGCAAATGTAGGTGTACACAATGCCCTCGCTCTGGTTGAACGGAGACCCCAAAAACTTGGTTTGCAGCCAACACGAAAACCTCCACATGGAATTGCAACGCTTGAGAATTGTTCCAGAAGATTTCGGTGCAAAAACATCATTGAAAATCTGTCCCAGTTCCTCGTTTGAACACAAAGTACCAGCAAAAGTCAATAATGATAATCCAAGTTTTGTTGCATCGACCTCCAGCAAAACCATGGTCTTGAACCTGGATAGAGACAACCTGCGAAAATCATCATCACTTGAGACGACCCTGGTCGTCCTGAGGCGCTGGACTGTTGCTTCCAATTGCTTGACAGGGCGCGGAATCGCTGCTGCTGAGTCGCTTGCAGTGACATGGTCAGACATGCCCACGACTGAAAACAAACTAGCAGTTGCAGGTTTTTCCCAAAACGGCTTCTGCCTTGCAAATAAAGGAGATAGTGGCCCCCTTTGCCATGGTTGTTTCAGCTCAGAAAAATGTCCGTGCACCTTCATGGATGCGAACTCATCTGCAGTGCGCTTCACTCCAAGGCTGCGTGTGACTCCACTCACAAGGCTCTGAGGTCTGGACTTCGGTCTGGGCTCCAGGAAGCGTTTCTGGGAGCCCTCCGACAAAGTTGAGCCCTGTTCCAGGTTCTGTTCAGGGTCAAGCGGCAAATCAAGACTGCCCTCAGCATCAGAGCCTGCAAAACCATGCACATGAAGAAAAGAATCATCAGCCACATCTGAAAATTCATCACGCTGCAAACCAAAAAGATCCTGCTGTGAGTCCTCACATTGATTGCCGGCAGTCCCATGCTGTCTGGACAAGACTTGACGATGCCAGCGGTCTCTGAAACCACCTTCAACCACAACCATTTGGACTTGTTTGAGTGTTGCACCCCCGTAAGAAAGAAACAAGTCAAAAGCCCAAATAATGATGACACTGATGAGTACCAGTAACACGTTTCTTTGCATGAAACGGTATAGTGTCGTCACGGTCTGAAAAGCAGCAGGGCGCCCCCTGTGTCGGTTGCAGATCTTCGCATGCAACTACGGAGCGCCCCAAAAGAAAGAAGGTTGTGAAGGTGGAACTGTTGTCTGTTTTCTTTTTTAACCCACCTCAACCTCACCCTTGAGATGATAATGGCCATGTCGATAAAAAAATTGGATTGAGTTCATGAGGAAGAGTGGCAAACTGTGTGTTAAAACTTAAGGTTGGAAACACAGTGTTAAAATCCTCATGAAGAATAAAATACGCAACAAAGCAAATGTTTTTTTTGGCATGGTGTTGCCAAGCACCAGGTTTTGCACCTAAGGAAAAATTTGTTTGAGTGTTGTATCCAAATTTTTCAAATTGTTTCCTTCAAAGATAATGCTCTCACTTCGTGATAGCACTCATCTCCTTTGCCCTTGCCCTTCCATGAAGGCATTCCTTTGAAAGAATCCTTACCTTTCATTCCTTTCTTGCCCTTTTTGCCTTTTCCTTTGCCTTTTCCCCAGAAAGCTGTGTCTTGCTGGTCATCTTCCCATGCTGCATAACCTTTTCCTTTTGACCTCGGGCAGAAGCCGGGTCTTGATCTTTTTCCTCCTTTCTTTCCATAAGCTTTTGGTTTACCTTTCTTGAAGGACCGGCCGCGAATACGGCGTATTCACCCTCTTCGGTCTCGCCTTCCTCCAGGACGTAGACAGTGGACCGCTTGCGGTGCGTGTTGCTCGTTGAGGTCTGCTTGGACTAAGAAAACCAGTGACATCAGATTGTCTGACAATGGAAATTGTGCGGCATGTCTGGTCCTTCTATTTGTTATGGTTTGTTCCCGAATCTCCTGTTGATATGCAAGTCTATCTTCATCTGTTGCTATGCCATTATAGTGCAGTCTTTGCTCATCTGTGGGTGCTGCCGTAAATGCCTGAGTGCCTGCTTCCGGGAGATCGGATAAGTCTAGCAGGCCGGACCAAGAAGCCAACAAACGCTTCTGCGCGATTTCGAAACGCCCAATCCAGTGCACGAATTCACTCTGGCCTCGATATGTGCGAAACATCTGGAGGAATCGCCAAAGGAACACATGATTTACTCCCTTCACGAAGTAGGGCCTCAATGTGTCCTTGAAATGAGCGAGGCCACGATCCGGATCTCGGAGTAGGGCATTGTCGAGCATCGACATCGACTTATAAAAAGAAGCGGAACCAATGAGGGCATTCTTTAAAGATGGTCCGTGCTTATCTGCATCCAATGTTGTAATCCGGTTTTCGGAATGACTGGCAGCGGCATATGCTTCAGGCTCTTCATAAGAAACAATTTGGAGTTGTTCTTCATCTGAATCCATGTTGTGGATTAAGACCATGGCAGCTACTCGAATTAGACCTACAAGTTGCCTTCGCAAGTCCGATATACGGATCCAGTGCAAAGAACAACAGTTCGGCACGCGGGATCGGAACTTGACGAAGGCACAGGCTCCGCTACCACTTTGAGGTAGCAATCCCCGTATTGAGGGAGCCCTGGATACTACTGTCACACTTGTGGTCAGTCAGCGCAAGCTACACTCTCTTTTTCTACGCAGGTATGCAGTAGTCTTGAGCCACGGAGTGGCGCAGTGGAAATGAATTCAATGTACATGTCAACATGCGTGAAAGCATTGTGTAGACACGTAAACAAAAATGAATAACAGGGGGCAGGGCCACCAAGCGGCCACAAAAGGTTGCAGATGCATTTTGCCACGGTGAGAAATAACTTCGTATCTCGTTCATCCAGAGCAGTGAGCGTCGACTCTATCAAAGAAAAGTTGGCCGAACAAACTCAGTGGGTCGGGCCTCTCTGTACTGTTTGTCCTCGTCCACAGCACTGACAGCAAGAGTATCTTGAAGGGCATCGAGGAATACGGACCGCCACCGGTTGCTACTTACAAAGCAATCCTGGTTGCGCCAAACACCACAAAGCCTGCCACAGTACTCCTGTGGCAATGGCACAATCCGAGTGGTGAGATGAGGCGAAGTCTTTGGCTCAAAATCTGTGCCACCGAGGAGCAGTAAATAACCAGCAATGGTCTGTTCGGTCATTTCATGAAGATCTTCGCATCAGGAGCATGACCACAATACATTTGATAGAGCAACACGGATAGCAAATAATGAGGAGAAAGAATTGCCTTCCAGTGAAGCAAGCTGCCATCTCATCAGGCGTCAAAACAGAAACCATGTCACCAACGGCAGCAGATAAAACAGGTGGCTCAAGTTTCACATCATTCCCCAAATAAGCCTTAACCTAAACCCATGGAGTGTCATGCCAAATCGAAACATCCATGGCCCTAACTCCTGTTTTCTCATGAGCCATGTCAACCCCATGTTTCCCAACAGTTGTTTTCCAGCCAAGGCGTCCCAGTTTGCAAGTTAACAAGATGCAAAACGCAGCCTCGCAAAAATTTTCCAAATTGTAGGTCCTCAACAGCAGCACCCATTCCTTTCTCAGACGAGCTTTTGGACTTTCCTGCTAAGTTTCAAAACAAGTCGTTTTTCTCTGAATGCTCCACGATGAGGTTTCATATTCGGCAACGGGACAGCCTTGTCAGATCTTTCTTCTCAATGGTCATTCAACTAGTTGCAAAACTGGAACTGGGATGAGCCTCTTAGGCTTGCGATCAAACACAGTTTTTGTGTCCGGTCTTTCCCAGGGCATTTGGAAAGTAAATACAGCTTGGGTGGACAAACAACTGTCTTCTATCATGGATTTAAGATCTCTTTTCCTAGCAGGGCTGAGCGGGAGCTCGACGGCTTCACGGCACGTCTCGGATGCCTGCGGAGAAACCAAAGAAGTTATGAACATCTTCATTAGCTTCATCCAGGTTTGAAGGCAAAGGAACTCTGACATCGTCTAAATCCACGGATGCTGCATCTTATCCTACAGGCGATTCTTCTTTTTCCTACTTTTCCCTATTTTTGTTTTCTTTTTTCATTTGTCCAGAATTTAAGGAAAAAAGAAGAATAAAGAAAAAATAAGAAAAATAGTTGCCTTTCCGGTCTCCATAAGCCAAAGGTCCTGTTGACACCAAAACATTGCGCTTTTTCAACTCTGATGCAAAAAAACTTTACAAAAATGAACCTAACACCCCAAAAAATGGGACCGCCTGGCGGTCCCATTTTTGGAACGGCATGCACAGCTTAGTGAAAGAACAAAAGAAAAACATTTTCACGGTCCCATTTTTGGGACCGTCTGGCGGTACCAAAAACGAGACCGCAAAATCGCAAAATCAACAGCAAAGGCCGACCCGTCCGAACAAAAATACGCAAAAAGCATATAAAAAAACAGAGGAGCCGACATGTCCAGTAAGTCTTGATCGGCAACAACGATTGGGCCAGACGGAAAGGGCGTCGACTTCGGCATACCAGCAACAGGTACCCTGCAGTGGTAGCACTATCCGGGAGTGGAGGTTATTGCGCGGCGTATGGTTGGACCAAACGACAGGAACCACTCGCTATTGCGGGCAGCTGTAAAAATCTTAATGAACCCTCAACTCAGCTCAGCGAGTTCCAAATCCTTTTCGAGCCACTCTCTGGTTGAGCAACACAAAGTCACACGGACTTCTCAAAAACAAAAGACTGCTGTACCAACTGCGGATTCCAGATCAAAAGTTGTTTCAGATAACATCCTACGCAACAATCAACGATTCCGACCTAACGTGTAGCTAGTTAGTACCATAAGTGGTTGATTTAACCAATCCAAACAAAGAATCAACCACTCATAGTACTTTAGCGTCACAGGCGATGTTGTTAGCTAACAACATCGACAAAATTGGTTGCACCAAAACTTGCCGTTTCCATATCATCCAATGATGATATTCACAGAAATCTTTACAGCATGATTTGACGAACAACTTCGTGATGTCAAATCATTTCCAAACGGTCCAAAAATGTTTGAAATACTTCTCAACTGTTCCGAACGTTTCCGAAAATGTTCAAATGTTTCCAAAACCGTTCCAAACAAACTGTGATCAAATCGGCTAAATCCCTAAAGCTCGAAAACACTCTCGTCTCATTGAAAACGCAAATTCCAGCAAATACAGAGGTCAAAACGCAATGTCACCGAAATCGCATCCAATGAAATACCGTCCATTCTAGAACATTCTCAGCTCATCAAAAGTGCAGAATCTCAATGAATACCGATGTCAAATGCAGTATCATAGAAGCATCATCCAATGAACTATTGTACCAAATAGAGGTGCACAACGGTCTAATCCCAGCGTACATCGTGAAGAAGCACGACGGTCCAATACCATATATTCACACCCCCTTTCGGCGTGCTGCTTCCAAACCCAAAACGACACATCCCACTCGAAAAGTCTTCAGTGTCTAACAGAAAGGAAGTCTCCTGTATCAAAGGCTGTTGGCCGGAGCCACAATGATCCCATTCTCTTCCAGCTGGAATGCAATAACCCAAAGCGACACCATGTGTCTAACAGAAATTGCAACCTAAGCCAGATACCTTTGCTTCGATACATAAACCTCTCAAAATCAGGTCTCGTTGGAGACATTCAGAATCTCAAAGCTCATGCATCGATGACCGAAGTCACGTTGAGATCACGGCTTGATCACTCTCTTCCATGAACCAGATGCCTCTCTCTCAGGATCAAACTCCATATAGAGAAGAAAGCCAGCCAAATCCACGGCCTGAGTCTTGTGAGTTCCATCATAAGATCCATGATACTTCTTGTAAATGAATCCCAGATACTTGTTCAGCTCTTTGTCACCATCAATAGCCATCCTAAGCAGCTCGGAATAAGTCTGTCCGTTCCACTTCGGCT